GGATGCTGCACGTAAAGCTCGACTTCAAAGAAAGTTTGGCGATCAATTCTCACATCTGCCTTCAAAATGAAAACGGTTGTAAATAATTTAAATGTGACCGTGTCACGAATTAGGAACTGTAAAAATGTTTTCTCTGTGGTACTTCTGTCATAGGGACGTTACTTATTTATTGTGGGTGAAGAATCTAATAAACTTATTGAAAAAAGTTTACTTCTGTTTCCTTGATGAGGAAATTTGCAGCCTATTCTGCAGTGCGAGTGCAAAGTTATGCCTGTCCTGTAATAGGTTCCTACTAGCCATGCTATTTGCTGTACATCCTCTTCCTTACCCTAGTCCCGCGCCGTACACCTTCTATCCGAGAAATCTTCTGTAGAGGAAAACCTCGTTGTCATGTCACTGAAGTCAGTCAACACGTCATTGAAGTCAATTTTGATGATTTTATCCCTCCATTTTTGGGGTTATCCGTGGTCCCTTGTTAAACATTTCGGAGTTTATAGCCTCCTTGAAGGACTTAGGCGTTCTCAATAAGTTCCCGTACCATCGTAGTCGCTGCATCTGAGCCGTCAGCTACAGGAACCACTACAAAGAGAGTACAGCTTTCGGTGGGAAACATGGAAGCCTCGTTCAGCACACATTCCACGAGGGACTGGCTGTGGGTGGAACAGTTCCATCCGTGCAGGGGCTAATGCCGTTTGGACGCGCTGACTTTTGGCTGCGAGCTCATTTTTAAAGTGCCTAAATCACCAAATCCGCTGAAAACTTGTATATAGAGGTAATCTAACATCCTGATTACGACGACATTCATTCTTGGCGCTGGCGCTAATGGAGAACACTACGATTATCTGCGCTCTGCTAAAGCTGAACCGTAGAAGGTAATCGTAGAGTCCTTCATTAGCGCGAGCTCCAAGAATGAATGCCGTATTTGTGTAGAGGATGTTTGTAGAGGATGTTAGATCACCCTTCTATACAAGTTTTCAGCAGATTTTATGATCTAGGTACGTTAAAATGAGCTGACACCCCAAAGTCAGCGCGTCCAAACGGCATTAGCTCCGTGGAGGAAGTTGCATTGTCCGCAATCACGGAGGTTTTGCCGATTTCGCGGCACACTCTAAAGCTCTTGAACGTCGAGTGGTTACGTTTCCTTCTCCTTATTGTTCTGCATTATTGGCGATAGTTCAGGGTGGTTTAGTGGCAAGTGGTTCTTTATCACCCACGCGAAGCGGGAGTCTAATCTCGAATCGACGCCGCCCGGTGCGGTCATCAAAGCTTCCATCCATCTCACCCCACAAACTGTTATACGACTCATCTGGGATCGTAAAAACATTGTCAAACATTGTCATGTATATCTGGAATGGCGCGTGGGACGATCCTCCTCTCAAATACGTTAGCGCCCCTAGCTTACACGTAAGGCAGATACGGTCAGACAGATGGTGTCCGCAGTACGAAACCCCTTTTTTTCCAGCATATCCAGGGTTGGCAGTGGTTTCGTGCAGTTTGAAAGCAAAGGTAGTGAGGGTGCTCGAAAGTGCACTTCGTGGTGATTAGAACTGCGATTACAAATGTGCTACCACATGTGTACCTACGCTGCGCTCAGAAAGTGAGGGAGGAGGTCGCCGAGGCTGTCATTATCCTTGAGAAGGTCACCCCAACAGCAGCGACACCCCCCAGAGCTGAGTGGTCATACATCCATGTCCATTCATCACTTCACATACGGTGGGACCGCGTCTGTCGCTCCCTCATCCCTGTTTTCTCTGGTTATCTCTGGTCTCTTGCCTACAGGGTCTCGCTTCCTTGAACCATCATCCCATGCTCAAATTAAAGATGAAGGAGCAGGTCTCATTTAAGGAGTTTTTGACGAATTTTGTTTTGATATTTCTCCATTGATAAGTCTGCTGTCATCTGCAGTCGTAAACGGATTCGTTTCACGAGAAAACTCGTTTCCCACTTATCTTTTTCATTTTCAGTTGTTATGTATTGCGTGGGTCTGTAGCTTTGGTATGTTAGATTGCCTAGGGCGGCGTTGCATCATCACTTAGATTGCGTTCATACTTCGCTTCAGCGTTTCGAGCGTACGGAAACTTTGAGGCGTTTCGCGACTATTTAAACTTTTCGCGGGCAATCCCTGAAACCTCTAACGTACGCTCAAAACGCTAGTTCTGCTTTCCTAGCCGCTCAAAAATCAAAAAGTCTGCGTTAGTACTGTGCGTCCGCGTATGCCAACATATACTGGCATACGGTGGTATACGCCCGCGCGAAGTATGGACGCAGCTTTAGCGTTTTTCCTAGTTATCATAAAGGAATGTTCAGGTTAGGTTGCATCATGAAAAAAGTTTGTGTTCTGTGTGGGCGAACTGCCGAAGTTAGTCATATGAAGTATATGTCCACTGCAAAAAAGATGAACCTTATAATGGTTGGTTGCCTTTCTCTGGTGGGAATTGTGGATCGGAAGAGCGTTAATGGAGTGGTTGAAACGGTTAGCCAGAAGAACAGATTCCTTTGCCACACACATGTGGTAAAAGCGGTAAGTTCCAAAGAAGAATATGTGGGTATCTCGCTGTGATCGTGTTTTCTGAGCAGGCCCAGTACCTGTCTGCTCAAATGGTGGTTTGTGGAAGGCGTTTCTCATACTACCACGATCCCTCTGCCGGAAAATGGGTACCATACCTCACCACTGGGGATATACCGCAACATCAGGTTGAAATAATCAACGGGATGAGTGATGTATGATTTTCTTTCTATTGCTGAATTTTTCATTCGTTTCAATTAGAAATTGTTAAGGGCAATGTTACGATCAATGCATGGGATGTGATGTCATTCGTGAATGACGCTCTGAAGAAGTATCATGGGAGTGCTTGGTGGCCTGATCACTATGAGGAAGAGGAGGTAAGGGGATCAATTTTGGAGGCTTTTTTATGCCAACGCGGCAATCTCAAGTTTAGGCGGGGTGTGAGGAAGAATATTCCAATGGCGATGCAGAAGAGTCTGACTCTCATTCTGAACCAAGCGCCTCTGTCTCTGAACCGGGCGTTAAAGTCGAACTGGAGGATGAAGGAGATGTCGACTCGTATGACAAACGTGAAGAAAAATTCGACGTTTCACAATCACATCACAGTACAACCCACAGTTGCGAGGCTACGAATGTAAATACCAAGTTGGAGGTGTAACTATAGGAATATTAATAGGTACGTTTCTCTCATTGCGAAACTGGGTTATCCACAATGTTTTTGGTGCTATCGTAGTTTGTGGTAGCAGTGGTTATACGGACATCGTTGCTGAGCGATAACAATCCGTTATCTGGTAAGGCTGCTTTCATACATTTCGTCAGCGTTTCGCGCTTACGGCAGCGCTCTGAGCGTTCCTAGCAACTAGAAAAGTATAGGTATCGATTCAGCGTACGTCAACATTCTCAGCATTGATAGCTTTGAATTTTCGCGGGGCTCGAAACGTTGGCACAAAGTATGAACGCAGTTTAGGGTGCGCCATCTGAAAACCTATGCCTATCTACATTGCCAGGTATGCTAGACATGTTGCATGATGTGCTGTAACACGTTAAGGAGTTTCCAGGTCCATGTAGCCATTGCCACCACAAACTGCAACAGCACCTTGTTGTTCATATCCAATAATATAAGACAACAGCCACCTTTTCTGTCACTTCATGCTTTGGCGCAGGTGTGTAGCACAGGTCCATATGCTGTTCAGACTAGAAGGTGATGTGTCATGTAATA